GTCCACCAGCCCATCCCAGGCTGCTGAATACCATCAGCTTTTGCACAGGCCTAACAGTTTCCTGCTTGTTCAAAGAAAGAGCCTGCAGCCCCCACACATTTCATGCCACACAGCCTTGTTTCATTTTGCATGGGATTTTTCCTGCTTCATTTCCAGATTTTTTTTTCCAAACAGACAGTGCCTGCAATTACTGCTTCATTTCCATTACGAATACAAAGAGCCAGCACTTAAAACTCTTATTCAGCCATCTTGCCCTCTCTTCAGCCCAAGCAACAACATACAGAGACCAAAACAAGCAACACTTTGATGATAATAGTCTAAGAGATCTTCTAAAACACTAGATAAAACCCAAATTCCAAAGCTGTTGGCCACACTGTCTATTTGGGGTTCCTCCAAGATTTTTTTATTATGTTTAAATCATACAATATTACAGTCACATGAAGGCTACTAATTCTAGACCAAAAACTGCTACACAGCACTATATCAGCCTATATTGAGTCACCTGAAGATAATGAAAAAGGAAGGGAGGATTTCTGCTGTGGTGCATCTGGACAATCATCAGTCATCTCACAAGTAGATGCTTTCGCCTGCAACACCAGCTCTCAAGACAAAGCAGAAGCTTTTGACAGGTTGCAAGACGGCAGGCAAGCCCAGCTTCCAGACCGTAACACCCAAGAGACCTGACTCAACAATTTTAAGTCTGGCAGCAAAGACTGCTGGTAAGCGTAATTGGACAGGGTGCGATAGCTGCAGAGCAGGATTTCAAAGGCTGTATTTCAAACTGGTTGCAGGGACCACCAGACTGAATTTTGCCTTGCGGTATTCTAGAGCCCACCTGTGCTTCAAATTAAGAGAAAGAGTGAACAGAAAACGAATGGAAATACAATATGGTTTTACCAGAAACATCCTTTGATACTACAGTCTTTTTCACGTTGCTTCACAGTCCATAAAGTTCAGCTGTAACACTGGCTTCAACAAGGCCATAAAAGTGGAGTGAGAATTACAACAGAGATAGGAAACAAACTAAGAAGCCACAACATACAGATTTCCCTAGATAATGATTAGCAATAGAGATATTAAATGTTTCAGTGACTGGCATGATTTTCATTGGTTGCAAGCACAAAAAGCTGTAACTGAAATTTGTAAGTCTCCAAATTGAGATGCAGTGTCTGTAAGCCATGGTATTAACAGACAATTTCATGCTGAAGTTGCAGAACAAGGATCACAGTTGCTTAAGACGAACATATTGCAAATCTAATGCCCAGGATGCTAGTCCTGGTACAAATTCAAAGTTCACAAGGTGGGAACAAGTAGAGGCTTAAACACCCCACTAATCACAAGATGACTACACGATAGCCTCACACTCATGAAAAAGACATGTCCTATCACAGTTTTTTCTTCTAGTACAGCTGGAGAAGTGTTAGTAACTTTTTAAACAACACAGTGAGATTCCATCTACAACTTTCCATCTACAATTTCTGCCCACATTCAAAAAATATGGCTGTCAAACTGAAGGAAATGAAAGAGCTGCCATGACAGAGTAAGAGAAAACTGGTTTTAGGAGATGAGGCTGTAAGACTCCAATTCCATAAAAAAAAATGCTAAGAAAGGAATGACTGCTACAGATGAAATTCCTAGAGATGTCAGAAAGCCAAGTGCAAAGGAGAAAAAAAAGCTAAAGCACAAGCACAACCAGATATGGAGTGACCTTTCAGAAAGTCAGAATGAAGTAGGAAGACAGGTTAATTCTAAGATTTGTATCATAAGATTGCTGCAGATACTCATTCCTCCAGATTGAAACTAATCAGCTTCAGCTGAAAAGTAGAACATGATCTGTTGAGAGTCTCAGAGACACTATCTGCAAATAATAAAAAGTTAGCTTCTACAGGAGTTCACTGTTCTCCTCTTCTTCCAGTCACCCAGATATTCCCTTTGTGCTCCTTCACAGCAGACAACTCCCTGCATTTAAAAGATCCCTGGAGATGTAGGTCAGCTGAAAATCAATGGTACAAATATCTAAAGAATTGGAAAAGAAACACTGAAGACATTCACATGGAGTCTGACGTAGACCAACATAGAAACTTATTAAGACAACAGGTTTCAAGAACAGAATCATGCCAATTCAGGGAATGTGGCTGGTGCTACAAGCTAATCACAAACAGTAGTTAGGCATCAAACGTCTAATGAATAGGTTCTGCCTTGAGATAGATGGAGCTAGCACTTGGGAAACAGCTCAGCAAGCTCAGGATATTGCCACTGCTTTTCTGGAAATAGCTTATCAGAAAACGATTTTAACTGCTTCCTCACCTTAATCTATGTCCCAAATCTGCCCTGGTGTTATCCCATTCATTTCATCCTCAAGTGTGCCTACTTGCACAGTGCCAAAGCCCAGCCTGATACTAGCCATATAGGTACTCCTGCCACAACACCAGAAAGTGCTCCAGGGCAACAGGGCTCAAACTTAAACAGGGTAAGTTTAGATTGGATATAAGGAAGAAGTTCTTTACTGTAAGGGCGGTGAGGCACTGGAATGGGCTGCCCAGGGAGGCTGTGAATGCTCCATCCCTGGCAGTGTTCAAAGCCAGGTTGGAGAAAGCCTTGGGTGACATGGTTTAGTGTGAGGTGTCCCTGCCCATGGCAGGGGGGTTAGAACTAGATGATCTTGAGGTCCTTTCTAACCCTAACTATTCTATGACTCTATAACAAGTGTCAGCACCCACTGTTTTTACTCAGCCCAGCAAAGCTACTGCCACCATCCTCAGCCTCAGAGGTGCTCCTACACACAAACAATTTTTTGAAGCAGCCAGTGGTCTCGCTGGGATGCAAGACTGAAAGAGAATACAAGAAATCACAGCAGGAAATGAAGAATGAATGAAAATTATTGACAGCGGAGACCCCAACCATGAACTTCCAACTACAGTTTGGTGCAAGAAAGCCATAACAGCGTCTCAGGCATTTGAATTTTAAACTGGAATAGCATCCAAAAATATCTACTTAAGACACATAAATGGAGAAGCACACTGAAGTATCAGATGTGTTGCTGAAACCAAAGATAAGCTAGACCAATAGCAAAAACTAGCAAGATTCCTGCTGGGCACTCTTAGGAAAACATGATCAGTGTGGTTGTAAGGTTGTATTTATACCACAGAGGGAATGGCATATACCAGAACACCATACAGCATTTTTGCCTAAACCCAAGGGTCCATGTTTTGAGGCAAGGCCTCTCTCTTTTGTGTTACATTGCTTAGCAGATGTTTAAGAAAGAAGTTTGCCACATTGGCAGCTCAGATAGACACTACCTATTTGCTGGAAGAAGCTAAAGGGGTGTGTGCGCATATGTAACTCAAACCCTAACCATTTTAGTTATTGTATAGCTATTAAGCAACAAAATGAAAACGGAAAACAGCATGTTTCCAGGCTGGGATAGTCTGTAAACGCATTGTGCAATGAGGACATCAGCAAAGTTTGCAGAAAACGGCCAGTGCAATTGACCTTGGCTAGGAACACAGGACAACTTTGTTGCCACCTCCGATTCTGCTGCAACATAAAACCCTGGCTGAGGGCTAGCCTGTACAACCGAAACCAGAACGCCAAACCCCTCCAGCCCCTGAACAAAGTATTTCTAAGCACCATTTCACTCTTCCGGTGGGAAAATGAGGTTTTCTAAACGCAAGGATTTTCTTAACCCCTACTAAGGTACGGTGAGGGGATTCGTCCTCGCTGCGCCATTACATAGGAGCCTATATTGTGCGCGTTATGGGCACACAAAGGATAACACAGGAGTCGCAGCCGGTGTCCGATCCCGCCCCGGCCGCAGGTGCCACCTTCCCGCCCTTCAGCCCGAGGGGCGCCGCCCGGCGCGCACAAAGGAGGGCGCCGCGCACGTGGGCCCGCGCTCGCCGCGCCGCACCGCACCGCGCCGCACCGCCCCAAGATGGTGGGCGAGAAGCGAGCCGCGGAGTCGCCGCGCCTGCCCCGCCCCACGGCCAGCTTCGCGCAACCCGGCTCGGTACGGCTCGACCCGGCGTGGGCGCCGCAGCCCGCCGGCCCAGCGAGCAGGGATCCCGCACAGCCGCTCCCTACCGCGGCTCGGGCGAGAGCTCTAGCGCGACTATGTGCTGTGAGGTGTCCCACGGGAGGAGCCCGCGCCCCCCAGGCAGACAAAGGGAGGCAGCACCGGCGGGGGATGGTGGAGCGGGAACCCCGCCCGACCCGGGCCGGGCCAGTCCCGGCGCCCCCACGTGCGCGGCGGGCTCACCTCGTCCTCCCGCTCGCTGCGGAAGCACAGACACGCCGCCCGCTTCTTGTAGCCCTCCCGGTCGTACGTCCGCGTCTGGTTCGGCTTAAATTTCATCATAGAGGCGGTGACTCGCCGGCTGTCCCCGGCCGCCGCCGCCGCCACGGCTCCGCTCTCCGAGCGCTGCCGCGCCTCCGGGACGCCGGCACGGGCCCCCCGCTCAGGAGTGGGGCAGGAACAAGACCGGTCCCAGCTGCCAAGCTTCTGTCACAGCAGGACCGTACCACCGCCCCGGGAGCCGCGCCTCGCCATGGAGGCTCCCCCGCCGCCCGGCTCGCCCCTCTCAGCCGCCGCGGCGGCCGCCCCTGCGCCCACTATTTAACTGTAACACACATTCCTGCGCCCGCGCGCGCCGCGCCGCACCGCGCAGGCGCCGGGCGCGGCAGCGGGCGGGGCCGGCCAAGGCGGCGGGCGGGCCCGGGGAGTGGGGCGAAAGGCAGGTCACGGGGAAGCGGTCAGCGTGCTTAGTCACCGGTGGGGCTCCGCACCGGCTCCTGCGGCGGAGGGCCCTGGGGTGAGGCTGGTCCCTCCCCCGCCGGCCCTTACAACGCCTAGGGCTGGCAGGAACCGGTCTGCGGTGGTGTTGGGGGGTCAGCCCCCAGTGTCCCACCGGGCGCGGTTGTCCCGCCGAGCCGGGCGTGTATGAGGTGATGGGTGTGATGGTGCCCCACAGGCTTGTGTTACACGCTGTCCCCGTGAGGCGGGAGAGGCCCCACAGGTGAGCGGGGCTGCCCCAGGCGCCACCCCAGCGCCTCTGGGCCGCTGCCTGGCGCGGCTCTCCGGGCGCGGCTAGGATGCGGCCTCGCTGGCAGTTTCCATGGCAGGGAGCCCAGCGAAGGTGTGCGAGGCGGGGACTTCTGGCTGCCCGGCGCGGTGGGCGGGGATGCGCGCAGCCCAAATGCCGTAATAGCAGCGTGGCTTTGCCAATGTAAGTTACGCTGGTTTTGAAATAACCTGTTTTTAGAAGAAACTGGTCTGTGCAGGTTGGGAAAGTAGCAGCCTATGCTACTTTTTATTTATTATTTATAAATATATAAGTAACAGCTTTGGGAGCTGAGGATGGACAAAAAGCCTACATAATCCTGCTAACAGGCCAGGAAGAGGTTTGCTATCCACATACCTTTATTATTATCGCCTGATAGGGTGGAAGCCCTCATGTCTTCATTATCATAAAAGAATCCCCCAAAACCCACTCAAAAAAAACAAAACAGGGAAACCCTGCTCTGTTCGTTGCCTCTGGATTGCTGTCAATTGCAAGTAGCCATCAAAGCAGTTTCTGCATGTGCAAGAAAGGTTGCTTGGTCATACTGCCTGATGGAATATAGCATGTGTTTATATACTTATAGTAGTAGAAATCACCCGTCCAAACTGTTTCATAAGCTTTTTCATTAATCATATTCTGACTGATATTAAGTAGGATCCTTTGTACTTTTAGAGCAGAACAGTGTGCTTTAAGTTATTCTATTTGTTTCTTCTTGTTCAGAACACCTTTTTTTTTTTCACCCTAAGATTATTTATTTAAGCAATCTTGTTGATCTGTAACAGGTCAGACTTTGTATGCTTTTGTGACATGTATTGGGAGGAGATGGGTTTTCATCACTGGTTACTCTGGTTCTTCATGAAATTTAGACCTTCTGAATGTGAACCAAGTGCAATGAGTCAGTGCTAGATCATGCCTGAAAACCATGAAGCTGAAGGAAGGGAAGTACAGTTATACTGAATAGATTGTCTTGTTAAAGTTATAAAAAGCTGCAAAGTCAAACACCCAAAGATTAAGAAATCCCAAATTTAGTTTGTTTTTACACATTGATTACTTGTATAAATACATATTTTTTAAGAAGCCTTCTGCCACTTTTGCCATGTAGCAAATGGACTGGCAAAATTTTTCTCTTTCTTCTCATTCAGTGCAGATGCAGGTCTCATTTATCACTACCTGTCACCAGTCAGGCCTCGGGCTAAATACAGTTTTAGTATTTATTTAATGGATCCCTAGTCAGAATAATTCTTTCTTTGTGAGGGAAGGACCAAAACCCAATAGGAGCTGTAATTTTTAGTTCAAACTTTGAAGGGTTGAGATCTGAAGCCTTTGAGAATGCTGAGGAACCATAGAATCATAGAATAGTTAGGGTTGGAAAGGACCTTAAGGTCATCAAGTTCCAACCCCCCCTGCCATGGGCAGGAACACCTTGCTCTAAACTACATCACCTAAGGCCTCGTCCAGCCTGGTCTTGAATACTGCCAGGGATGGAGCATTCACAGCCTCCCTGGGCAACCCAGTCCAGTGCCTCACCACCCTAACAGGAAAGAATTTCCTCCTTATATCCAATCTAAACTTCCCCTGTTTAAGTTTTAACCCATTACCCCTTGCCCTATCACTACAGTCCCTAATGAAGAAGTCCCTCCCCAGCACCCCTATAGGCCCCCTTCAGATACTGGGAGGCTGCTATGAGGTCTCCATGCAGCCTTCTCTTCTCCAGGATGAACAGCCCCAACTTTCTCAGCCTATCTTCATGTGGGAGGTGCTCCAGTCCCCTGATCATTCTCGTGGCCCTCCTCTGGACTTGTTCCAACAGATCCATGTCCTTTTTATGTTGAGGACACCAGAACTGCACACAATACTCCAAGTGAGGTCTCACAAGAGCAGAGTAAAGGGGCAGGATCACCTCCTTCAACCTGCTGGTCATGCTCCTTTTGATGCATCCCAGGAAATAATAAAACCATGGTTTTGGTTTTTGCATCCATGATATAGAAAAGGGAGTGTGGTATGGTGTAATGAAACTCAAGGGCTACAAATGAAGTAGTAGTTTTGTGGCTACTTCTTTACAAACTGCACAGATGTGCATTCATGTAATGCACATAGCAAAATCAGTCTTGCCATTGGTCTGCTTTTTATGCTGTGATAGAATTCATTTTGCTCTGGATTGTTCCTTTAGCTACAGTTTCAGGGTTTACCTTTCAAGACAAGCATGTTTTAAGTCTTCAGTATGTCTTTTTCTGAATGATATTTTTTTTTTTTTTGAGAAGCTTCACCTCTCACGTAATTGGAGGAAATTCAAAAGTAGGATTTATACTTAACGAGAGCAGTGTCCAAAGATCAGCTGAGCTTAGGCTAGGTTTTCCACTTTTGTACAACTCACCCCTCCCACCCCCAAAACCAAACAAAGCATTTGACTGCCAAATCTGAACACAACACACAAATCCTATCTCTGTTGTGAAACTTGATAATTTCTTTGTCACGTATCACATAGGTAAGAGCCGGAAGAAATTGCTCCATGGGAGGGCCAGTCAGTGTGTGGGCTGTAGTTACATTTTCTACACCACGTCTCCTCAAATGTGGTAGCAATTCCAATGACATGTAAATTCATTGGATCTCTATTTTTGTGAAACTCCAGCTTATGCCTATATATAATTAGGCTTTTATTTTACAAAATAGAAGAAATCTAACATTGGATATGGATAAGTATTAAAAAGTAATGATGGATGAATCTTAAAAAATGATCTGGTGGCATGTTTTGGTTTTGTTTTTTTTTCTTTTGTACCTTGATGTGATTCTTAAATGGCTCTTGGTTTTCAGAATCAGCAGGAAGCTTGAATGTTTAAGTTTTTTGTATTCTTTTCCATTTTTATTCAGTCTTCTTGCAAGTCTGTTATGTAGTTTGCCTATATGCAACAGCAACAACTGTATGTGAAACAGTCAAATCATCAGTAAATAATTAACATTTACAATGCAATCACATTCATATTCACAGTAGTTCTGTAACCGAGGCCCGCTTTGTATTTTGTTAATGCGGTGTATGAATACTGGGAGCCAAGTTACAACTGAATATTATGTATTACTGCAGTCAACTGCTACAGCGTGGTACCGAAGGTCTGTTTCATTCAGAGGTGGGGTTTTTTGTTTGTTTGTTCTTGTGAGGCATGCCTCTGGATTTTGCACTAGAGATATAGTAATTATAAAGTAAGTGATGATACCTTGAGTACAAGTGTGAACCAGAGCTGAATGTACAATGCAGGATGCAAAGATACTTTAAAGGAAGTTCAAAACCCTCTGCATTCAGACAAAAATAACTTTCCACCTAGCTGTAGTTACACTTTGGGTGAAGTCTGCTTAAATGCAAGGGAACAGTTGTCTTTTCCTTGAGAAGAAACAGGTTTAAAAATTTACAGAGTAATTAGATTTTCCAGTTCCCTTGACCTACATTTATTGCCAAGATTAGAAATTGCACTGTTCAATAACTATGTCCTGGCAAGTTTTATGTAACTTTCTTTTCCACTCTTCATTTATTATGGTTAATAAAATTGAAATATTTGCTTTGGAGGTACTTTCAGTCGACTACTTAACATTCACTCTGAAGAGAAATAGATTTTTTTTTTCTCACCTCTGCAAGTAGAACATTACATGAATTACAATTGCTTTATAGTAACCAGTGTTTGTAGTTATCATCATTCTAGATAATAATTTGTTCTGTCAGTTATAGCATTTCTTTGATATTCTACAGTTAACCCAGCACAAAAATCTGGAAGTTCAGAAGCAAACACTGAGAATGCATCCCTCTAGTGCTGCATTGTGTGGGCTTGTGGAACAGTAAATCCTCATTCACATGCCTTGTAGCCTGGTGAAAGGCTGCCTGCAGCTCTAGGCTCGAGCATTGTTTCAGCAGAAATTAGAGTAGCATTGAGGTTGGGAAGGTTAACCTGACTGAATGGTTAGCACCTTTCCCAAACCTAGAAGAAAAAATAATCTTAAACATATTTGGCTATAAGAAGGTTTGCTATATAGAAAGGGTAAATATTCATCAGTTAGTTCTTATTTAGGGTGGCTTACTCCCCCATGATACAATAGGAGGGAGCAGTGATTCTTCTGAGATTTTGTACTATGCGGTTAGCTATAAGGCAGCAAATGAGAATACTGCCAAGCTCACTTCCCTGCAAACTTAAAATGTCATCATTCTAATGATTTAACCATTATGAAAATGACAGCATTATTTAAAAAATGCTTTTAAGTGCCAAAAAGCTTGCCAAATCGTATGCACACTCTCATCAGGTAAACACTGAACATAGGGAAGTTTAAAAAATTGATCGCTTAATTTATTTCTGAATTCTGCATCTACATAAAGCATCTTTTATATAGTAAGTCCCACATTATTTTTTCCCTGAGAGCCAGATCCTCACATAAATCTGCTGTAAAATGCACTTTAAAGAGAATACACGTATATGCTCCCTATGATAAGGGTTACATTCCCCATCCATAGGGTCCCCTTATTTTCAGGTGAACCTGGAGCACTATTACAGCTGCCAACAAATATCTTTTCCTTTGGCTTGTTATCATTGAACAACTTGCATGAACTGTATGTGATCACACTATTACTGTCTGCCAACCAAGCTTTATAATCTTTCCTTTTATGAAAAAGTATCATTAACATTGCTTTGATGTCTGGTAGCAGTGACCTTCCTAGTAAAGGTAGGGTTTTGCATTAAATGTTTACAAATGGTGATAAATAATAGTCACCAGTGAATGAAAATGGGGAGATCAGTTAAATACAGCTATGTTTATTTGATTGTAAACAACTAAATATGTTTATATGTTGAGTATTGTATGCTTTTGTGTGCTTTTTATGGGTTCAGTGGGTTGTGATTAATTTTGGATTTTCTTAAAATTGAGCTTTTAGCAAAATAGAAAAAGTAGTACTTTCCAGAACTGTTTAATATGTTTTATTTGGCTTTTACAATAAAGCTAGATAGATGATACTCAACGTTAGTAGAAGTACCCAAAGAAGATTATTTTTTTTTTAAACTGGTGCAAAATTCTTCTATCTTTATCAGAGAGACAGCTTCAACCTCCAAGGATTTTGCCAGACTTCATGAAACAAGTAAGTATGAAATGTATTTCAGATTCTCTGTGAGATTATGCAATCTTAAACTTATATT